TGGCCATGTAGCATTTCTATGCATTTGTCTCCCAGGTCTGTCGCTGCTCGTGTCCGCCCTTTTCCAATGGCCATGTAGTCCGCCCTTTGCCGCTGGCCATGTAGCATTTCTATTCATTTGTCTCTTAGGTCTGTCACTGGTGGTGTCCGCCCTTTTCCGCTGGCCATGCAGCATTTCTATGCATTGTCTCCCAGGTCTGTCACTGCTGGTGTCCGCCCTTTTCCTTTGGCTTCGTAGCATTTCTATGCATATGTCTCGTCCGCCCTTTTCCGCCGCAGCATTACTATTCATTTGTCTCCTGTATTTTCACTCCATGTAATATGTACACTTTGCCATGTGTTGTATATAGGATATCATTTACCTTGTAGCTCGCGGCCCAAAACAGGAGCGGTAGCTTAACGGCTGTTGCTATAGGTTATCAACCGTAGTGCTCTAACCACGGCCATGGACGCCCTCGCTATTCCTGGTAATGCAACATCATCGGTCACCCTGCCAGCCAGTCCCGGAACTGCGCCCACGATAGATCTAGATGATCCCATGGGTTCAGCCCCGGTGACTGCGTACTTCCAGTTTGTGCAGCGAAACATCCAGCAGGTTTACAACGGTAATGAGGAAGCAATCATTGCTGAGGCTGAGAGAAGGCACAAGGAGGTAATGACACAATGGTTGGACACGGCAAAATCCAAATTCCACCAAGCGATCCTCGAGGTAGAAGGCAAACACCATGAAGAGCTTAGTTCAGTGAAGCAGCAAGCCCAATCTAGCTACAACAAGTTGCAAGCAGAGCTTAGCGCTGCAAAAGCACGTGTGTTCAAGCTAGAAAACGACAAGGCGTTGGAAGCAGAAGCAAAGAAAGCGGAAATGGATTCCCTGCGCACACAACTCATGCACGATTGTCAGCAAACGGTTGGCGCTGTCACCAGCAATGCCGAGCAAGGTGTAGCGAAGCTTCGCGCAGAGTTCGATGAGCGTGAAAGCAAACTTCTGCGTGATTTGAGGGACGCAGAGAAGGATGAAGGAAAACTATAGTCTGCAGCAGATCATCGATGACCTAAGGGCTGTCGCAAAGATGCCACTGCCCCAGGGTATTGTCCAACGAGCGTCGTAGCTTTGCCAATGTTGACGCCTAGGAACATTTGAGACCATTGCAGCAGTGGCTAGTGCGCGTTTGAGTGGGTTGTTTGGACCTAGTGTGCCAGAGGCCACCGTCGCTGGTGATGCCCTACCTGGGGCCGGTACTCTCTGTTCACGAGTGCTATTCCAGACAGTGGTAAGACTCCAACCCACATGTTTCACAGTGTTGCGCCGTCGTCAAGTGCCATCACTTCGGAGCAAGTGATCGAGCTAGTCAAGTCACTCACCCAAAAGGATAGTGATGAGAAGCCCAAGGTTAAGGAAGCAGACCACATCAAGTTGAATGATATGCCTACTCCCGAAACCTATCGGCAATGGAAACATCTTGTGAGAGATGAAATCAAGTCATGTTCTGACAAACGTGATGCAGAGTGGGACTGGTTGATGGAGGTGTATAACACTATCGATGAGAGAAGTGTTCTGGAAGATCGGTTGTCCAACCCCGCTAAGTTCACGACTTTGGATACCAAGTTGGCAGCTGCTTGGACCAGAAGTGCAAAGGGTGACCTAGCCAACCGGATCATCAATTACAAGGAAGAGAAGGCAAAGCTAGGCTTCGTGGGAGGATGATTCTTCTCATGTTTGATGACTATTTCAAGACTTCTAAAGAAGCTGGGAGCCTTTACAGGGTTGAAGATCTTCTCAACGTGGTGAAGGTAGGTGACACCGTGGCCGGTCTGAAACGATTCATCAACCGCTGGGACGCTACCATCGCTGTTATGCCTGAACCACCTCATGAGAATGTGTTACGGGGCATCCTGTTGAGACAGATTCGAACCAGTTCAATTTTGAGGTATGACATCGATCTGTTTGATCGTGGAAAAGAAGGTGAACAGAACAGGTCGTACAAGTTTCTATTGCAAAGTATCAAGGACTTGATTGACCGTGAGCGCCTTCGTGAGAATCGATCCCGCATCGCCGAGCGAAACAAGTTGAAGCCAGGCGATCGCAGTGAGAAGAACGCGGCGCCGTGTCTTGACCCACGCCGCAAGCGCTCGACGGCCGACTTCCCGAGACAAGGGTGTTTGCTGGGCTTGCCTGGAGGGGAAATGTACCAAAGGGAAGGACTGCAAGTTCAAGCGCGAGAAGCCCAAGCGTGACCCTTCTAGAAGGCGTCAGGCATCCAAAGAGAAGAAGGAGCAGAGAGACAAGAGTGAAGACAAAGAGAGAAAGAAGATGACCAAAGAAGAGATGGCTAAGACTCCATGTTGGTATGATCAACAGGGTACATGCAGACGGGGTGACAAGTGTTTCTTTAAGGATGGTGACAAGGCAGCGCCGGCCGCAAAGACCAAGGCCAGAAAGGATTCTCCTAAACCTGGAAAGGAAAAGAAAGGGGATTTCCAGAATGCTGCTGTGTGCCTTCGCAATCGCTTTGCCTGTTTGGCAACCGATTCGCCGGGTCCATCATGTCTCAAGAAGCCTTGTTTGCCTCCCGTGCGTGGTAGATGCAAGCCGTCTAGCCGAAAGGTCAGATTCACTAGGAAGCCTGAGATCCATACAATCCCCGCTCGAGGGGAGCGTTGCAAGATGATCAATGAACCCCGCAAGCGCAAGTTGCACTATGCCACAAGGGATTGTGTGCCCAAGAGCGACCCGAAAGCAGCCAATCTGGCAAAAGTCGGAGCAAGGCAATTGGCTGAGATTGTTCGTAAGTTTGAGAGCTCTGATGAGCCTTCATGCCATTATTAAGTGCCTCGAACCATCGCTCACGTGCCGTGCTTGCAGGAGCTTGATCCAGCCCAATGGCAGTTGCGGCCATTGTGGCAAGTCCGGCCCCAAGGGAGGGAAAGTTTTCGTGGTTGGTTGACTCCGGGAGTGAACAAGATCTCATTAGCAGGAAGATCATGGATGCTGCTGGTGCAGAGAACCCTCGTAAGGCACCTCATGCGATCAGCCTGATCACTGCAAATGGGTCCACCGAAGCAAGTGAAGTTGCCGATGTTCGGATGAAGCAACTGCTTGATCCATGCACGCCATATTTGCTAGATGAGTGCCCAGCTGTGTTGTCTGTTGGTATCAAGTGTCTTGATCAAGAGTACAGCTTCGTGTGGCCGGCAAATGGCATTCCCATTTTGGTGAGACCGGGTGAAAAGATTGTTCAACTTCGTGTTGATGGTCATGTCCCAGTCCTCGACTCCGATTGCAAAGTCTTTGGAAAGGGTCAGTTCAAGAAGGACAAACCCCTGAAGAAGTTGTTTGCAATGCCGGGAGCGATCTCGAGCCAATCGGACAAGAGGGAAGAAGAGGGCCTTGATGAAGAGGTGCCAGACGATGATGAAAGCCGCCTGGTACGTTCCCGAAAGGTGGGAGACCTGATGCGTCAGGCACAGTCTGGGAAACACCAGTTTCACCACTTCCCCATGAACCCTTCTGCAAAGTGTGTCAGCGAGCTCCGATGCTTGCGCCCCAGGCACGAAAGAAGGGAGGTGAGAGCCGCGTCCAGACTAAGGCATTTGGAGACCATCTCATTGCCGATCACGTCGTCGTGCGCGCGAACATCGAAGAAGGGAATCGTGGTGAACGGGTATCGTTAGTAGTCAAAGACCTGCGCGCAAAATTCCGATGCATATACCCTGCCCAATCCAAAAGTGGATGAGGTAATTATTGCACTTCAGCATTTTGTTGCTCCGGATGATGCAGTCGAGACCCTTTATACTGACAATTCCCGTGAGTTGATCGCTGGTATCAAGGAGTTAGGGTACCGACACCAAACCTCCATTGAGTATGTAGACTCCTCAAAGAGCTTCATCGAAAGGGAAGTCAGGAATATGCTGGAGGGAGCAGGCGCCAACCTTGTTCAGTCGGGTATGCCTCTCCAAT